TAGGAAGTTTCTAATTGCTCCTAATAGATATACTAGTTAAACTAATGAGAATAGATAATAGTATTGACTGTCTACTAATAGAGAACTCTTTCAAGAAAGAAAACAAAGAGGTGGTAGTTAAAAATATTTAAATATTAAAAATAGCATTATATAATATTAATGAGATAAAAGGAAATTTTACTAAAATAGAGTTATTACTAGACTGAGCAAGCAAAAAGAATATTAATATAATAAGCATTAATGAAATAAACATTACAAAAAGACAGAACAATTTTAATATAAAAAGATAAGTAAAATATATAAAAATTTAGTCAGATATATAAAAGAACAAGAAAAAAGGTTCTGATATTAACTTAATAATAGACAAAAAATAAGAAAAGTATCTGAGCTAAGTAAAAAGAAGAAACACATACTACTTAGAAGCTCTCTTTGTATTTAAAAAACATAAAATACTCATAATATTAGTATATATTTTATATAATGATTTCAAGATCAGAAAAGATATTTAGCAACAGACAATAAAAAGAATATATGAGTGCTAAAATTAGAAGAAGCCTACAAAAGTTATAATTCTTAGTAACTTTAATAATATTCAATACTGAAAATTAGACTAGAATAGGAAAGAATTTAAACGAATACAAAAACTCTTACTTTTAGACTAGCTTAAAAACTCTGTTATGACTAATATATTCAGGAAACTCTATCTATATAAGAAAAAGTTTATTAGAAAAAATAAACAAGTAGAATCCAGAATTGACTATATTTAGCTATCAAGAGATTTGAGCTAGAGTTTAATATATTGTAATATAATAGAATAATTAATTTTATAATAAGTAACATAGCGAAGGCTGCTGTTATTATCTGAAAAGTGTTACAGATAATAACCACCTAATATAAAAAAAATCATAATAGAAGCAAATACAATTATGAGTAGTGATTATATAATTATAATTATAAAAATACTAACAAGTATTATGAAGAAAACCAGATCTTCAGCATATAACAAGAGACTAAAGAAAAAGAAATAGATACTGTCTCTTAACAAAGCAACTAAAGAAAATTATGAAAATTATAAGATAAAGTTTTTTTTTTTTTTTTTTGTTATTAAGGTGGCTTATATTGCTGAGCAAATTTTATTAGTTTGATATATAAGGTCCTATATGAGGTTCCCTTACAGTTTGTAATTACATGAAGAGTGTATAACAAGCCATATATACAATTTTAGTTACTATCTAATTTAAGTAGTCCACTATGTAAGCATTAAACTACTTGTTAGTACTACACTATGCTGCTATATCTGTAACCCACCTGTGAGTTATCTATTTAAACACTTTGTTCAACTAATCTATACCATTACAAACTAACATCACTATAATACCTAATCACTTATACTAGCTAGTTCGTTGCAGATCTATTTATCGACTTCAGCTTAGATCCTCTCAAGTTATATTATACTCAATATATTGTGAATATCTGCAAAGTCAATTAACCTCGAAGCATACCTACTAGAGCAGCTCATGCTTATTTCATAAACTTATCTAGCTTAGACCCTTGTAGATGTTCATACAACTCTGGTTTCTTTTGTGACTTTCTACTAATATCATTTTGAGATCTCACTGAGGCTTATCATGAGTTAGATTCTCCCAATCTAGTTAGCTATCAAGCTAGGTTGGTGTAACCATAACATATAGCGATCCTCACTACAATATAGACTTATGTGCAACTAACCTGATCAAAGTCTTTGAGTACACTATCTTTCTGAATTAAGCGTTAGCTAGTATAACTATCAAAAGCTATACTACTTTACCAACTCAGGATTTCTACTATACAGATCCCTGCTCATAGATCCTATCAAGATTTATTCATGTAATGTTATGTCTCTTCAAATACCTTGTCATACTTTAATATCTAGATGATATTGATGCAATATGATTTATAGAGTTACAACCCCAGAAACGAACAGAGTTTACTATAAGTTAAATATAAAGGTCTGAGTAATTATTCAAATTTGTCAATAGTAGGATTTGAACCCCAGACTTTTTGTATGGTAGTCTGATAATCTAACCATTATACTAAGATTACCAGATCCTGAAAATTATAAGATAAAGTTAAAAACATATTTGTAAAAAAGCTAAAGATAAAAAACAAAGAAGTTAATTCTGCTTGTTTTAGAACATTGAGTAAAGATAAGCTTTGGAATATAATAGTATCTAGTATTATAAAGTGTGCAAAGTTTACATTATTAGAGAAAAAAATCATAGCAGAAAGAGTCAATATAACCAAAAAATATGAAAGTAATAATATAAAAAAAGATCTAAAGATAATTAGAAATCTGTACTAGCAATGTTTATCAAATATCAGACAACAAATTAATAATGCAAATAGACATAATACAAATATCAAAATTATAAGAAATAATAGTCTTTACAAAACAAAAATAAAGAAGCTTTTTAAGAGAGCTTAAACTAAAGAAAGATATACAGAGTTCAAAACATAGTAGAAAGTTATATATCTAAAGGTACAGCAAGCAAAAAAAAAAAAAGATTTAAAGAAATCAATATAGTAGTTGAATAACAATATAAAGCAATACAAGAAGAGCTTAAATATATAATAAATAGTCTCTTAAAAAAGTCTTCTAAGTGAGTTGTTATAGATAGGATTCTGAAAAATAATAGCATAGAACTTGTTCTAGAGAACCAGAGAAATTAAGTATTAGAAGAAGTTAAAAAATATTTTAGCAGTCAATTCCTCAAAAGAAACTCTAAATATGTGAATATGCCAAAAAAATTGAAAGAAGCTTATAACTCTCTTAAGTAAATAAATAACAGAATTTATAATAACTTAGAAGATGTGATTTTTGAAGAAGAATAGATAGAGAGGTCTGGTGATCTTAGTGTAGTAGTTAGGTTGCCAGATCGCCATACAAGAGGTTTGGAGTTCAAATCCCACTGTCAACAAATTTGAATAATTACTCGAACCTTTGTACCCAACTTACGATAAACTTTGATCTTCTTTTTTTTATATAAATCTAGTATTAATCTTTTTGAGTTCTCTAGTAGCTTGATTCTTTTTAATACTTTTTTGAATATTTCTAAGCCTACAGAATTAAAAGCTTTTTACATATCTTGAAACAGAATCTATAGCTTATTTTTTTTTTTGTCTTGTGTCTTCTAAAAAATTGTTTAGTATATAAATTAGATTTGCTATACTATCACCTAATAGACCTGCAAAGTTGAAACCTTTCAAGATACTATATTCAACTAGTATTTTGTCTAGTCTGCTTATTAAGATTCTTATTACTACCTTATAGAATATTTTAATTAGAACAATTGGACATCTATTAAACAGATTATAGTTCTAGTCTTCTTCTTAGAGATTAGATATAACTGGCTTAGTTTTTATTTGATAAGGATCTCTTCTTCTTTAATACAAAAGTTAGCCAAATATACGAAGATATTACATGCTATTAGGTTTACTTTTTTGATTAAAGAGTAGCTTTTATTAGAAAGATCTAGTGCTAACTTAGGTTTTGTTTTCCTAAGTACCTCTATCTATTCTTCTTTTTTTTTTTGTTATTAAGGCTACTTCCTTGGCCAATTAGATTTTTATTAGTTTGTTATTTCAGAACTATCACATGAACAGTTTCTAAGGTTTTATAGTTATATGATGAGTGTACAACAAGCCACACGTATAACTTTAGTCATTGTCTAATTTAAGTAGTCCGCCATACAGACGATCGACCATCTGTTGGTTCTACACTATGCTGCCATACCTACAACCCGCCTGTGAGTTACCTATTTAAACACTCTGATCATTAACCTTTCCTTCTATTCCAAACTAACGTCACCACTATGGCTAACCGCTTAAGCCAGCTGGCTCACCTGTAGATCCATTTACCGCACAGCTTAGGTCCTCTCAGGATGCATATGCCCAATGTATTGTGAGCCACAGAGCTCTGGTTAACCTCAGAAGCATACCTACTAGAGTAGTCCATGCCCATTTCATAGATTCACCTAGCTTAGACCTTTGTAGATGTTCGTAAAACCCCAGTTCCTGCCGTAGCTCTCCACTGGTGTCTGTATTCTCCTTCTTAGGACGTTTCATGAGTCAGATCCTCCCAAATCCAGTTAGCTGCCAAGCCAGGTTGATGTTGCTGATCTTTACCACGGACCGAACTTACTCGCACCTATCCCAATTCATACCTTTCTTAGCAGTGTTTCTTGTCAGATCAAGCGTTAACTGTCTTGATCGTCGAAAGTCGTACTACTTCACCTACTCAGGGTTTCTACCATGCAGGTCTCCTGCTCGTAGATCCTATCAAAATTTCTTTGTGTAACATTACATTACACTTCCAATGTTCGAGTAACTTGGTACAATTTAATTTACAGGGTTACAACCCCAGAAACAGACAGGGTTTTACCGTAAGTTGGGTACAAAGGTCTGGGTAATTATTCAAATTCGTTGACAATGGGATTTGAACCCCAGACCTCTTGCATGGTAGTCTGGCAACCTAACCACTACACTAAGATCACCAGACCTTTCAAATTTGGAATTTCTGGATATGATAGTTTCCATATAATTGATATACAATTTTTTACTACACAAACTCCATTTTTCTCAAATTTCAGCTTATCCATTTCTATTCCCGTTTTAAGTTCTGCTTTTTCAGCTATAATAAAGCTATCTATATATATACGTTTTACTTGATCTTCTAGTGGCTTTACAATTTCTGATATTCTTTTTCATGCAGATGCTAATAAAAATAGTTTTATTCGTGGATGTAAACCATAATTTTGTCCATTTCTTTGCTCACATAATGCACCTCATAATGAAACTAATAATGCTTTACTAATTTTTCCTTCTATTCTATCTTCTTTTTTAATTTTGTATAATATATTACCCTATTTACTAAACATGTCTTTTCCTGTTATATGTACATTTTTTTCATAAATAAGCACATTTGGTAATATATTCATTAATGTTACTTTCAATCCATTTTTTCACACATATTCTAAATCATAATGTGTGTAAATTCTATATAGATTATAACGTAAATATCTCGTATATTGAAGACTTTTCTTTGGAGAATTTCCTTCTATTGTTGCTTTATAAATTCCATATGGAAATTTACTCCATTTTTTTTGTAAAAAATAAGTTTATAGTATGAAACTTACCTAGTGCAATTGGCTATGATACATCTTTTTTTATCATTTCAAATATATACATTGAATTTATATCATATTGATTAGCTTTTCCTTCATATCTTTTTGCAAATATTAGAGCACCAGTGGTTGCTAAATCTATCTATGCACTTTCTTGTTCACTTATTTTTTTACTTTTTTGGGGTGCTAAAGTAGTTTCTTTAAAAAATTTTATAGTTGTTAAT